TGGCTACCAAAATGTATGGAGTCTAAGGACTTTGTCTTTAAATGTGATTCAAACCAAATCATTCGAGTACATGGAGACATAGCTACTACTCCGTGTATGTGCGGCAGTTGTTGGCCGCTCGCACGCACGCCAGTGACCTTCTTTGATGAAACTTTTTGTATGGCTTCCAACATTCTCCTTTGCTACAGTCAAAAGTCACACTAGTAGAGTTCGTGTGCGCTTTCCTCTTGTAATTTTAATTGGACATGTGGTCCTTCAGGACATAAATCTGACTTGCCAAAATTGTCGTTTGTATACTTGTCTTACCAACTCTATAGCCTTTGACCTGTGCTTGACTTTATTATGATCTTGTCACAACAAAATTCTTTATGGATTTCTGTGACACTACATCGTTCCTGGAAAAGCAGTCCTGCTCAGGAATTGATTCTGGAATTATTCAACAGATTGCTGCAGCGTGGTAAACGCATGATTGGTCTGATAATTGCTGCTATTTTAGGTCTTCTTGCCTTGGCTGCTACTGCACCTACCACTGGTGTGACGCTGCAGAGATCTGCGTGATCACAGACTTCATGCTCCCTTGCACGATGAACTCGTGGCTTTACAAAGCAGAATTCAATGGGTAGGCTGAACGTTCTTGAAATTGCAGGAAACAGTACAATCTGTATGCGATTGGTGTTCTACTCAAATTTACATTACTTCTAAGTTTAACGCTTCTCTTACATTCAGGGAAGAATGATTACTGCACCATTTCCTGGATTCACTTGCAGGGAGAAATCTGTTAGTGCTAGACTTTCTTTGATTGCCTTGATGCTTGTTCTTTGCATACTGTTCATGAGACGTTGTTATGTTCAGGTTGGCAGACGTCAGTTGACATACGGTTTCTTGCCATGTCTTTTTAGGAAGTTCCTACTACACAGTAATAAACCTTTGATTATATCCCCATTTACACTTTTGTTGTATTTCTTGCTTTAAGGTTCCTGTTGGGATTCTTTCCTGCTACTTTCTTTTAACAAGATCTGGATATCTAGGTGACACTGTCTGCGGGTTTTTGGCACATGGTCTTTGGGATCGGGGCTTAGTTGCTTGAAGCTGTGGCCCAGCGTGATGCAGCTGTGCCCAGTCTTGAGGCTATTGTGCCATGGACTCAATGGTTTTCTAAACCAGGGGAGAGTCTCTTGTCCAGTCAAGTGTTGCCTTGATGAATGCATACCTCTCTGCTTAACAGGACTGTTTGTCTTCTGACCATGGAAGACAAACAAGAAGACACCTCCACCTTTGCTAATGATTTTCAATTGCCTGACATTCTTAATTTTGCCTTTTATTAACTCTTCCTTTTAGGACATTTTCTTCTAGGTTGATATTCTTCTTCTAGGTTTTTGGCTTTTATACCAAAGATGTACGACAAGGTAACAGTCATCTGCTTTTCCTTTCTATGCCTACACTCATGCTTAAGACAAGAGATGTGAAAGTTCGCTCACAAAAAATTAACTAACTTTCTGACATTTATTGAGAAGGTGTGTCCGTGGTTTCCTGCAGGACCCTGATTGCGTTTGGGTCAAGGCAATATAAAGTATGCTCCTTGCAGTTTTCAGGCACCGTTGTCTAACTCATTGTCCGTTTTACCATGTGTTCCCTCTTGCCCACTTCGCTCACTCTGCAACTGCTACATTGTAGCCTCCTCCCTTGTTCTCATTTGGGGGAGAGGGCATGTGTGTGTGTTTTCCGCAGGATGCTGACAATGCACATTGGGTACCTGGGCGCCTCATTTGCTTAGTGGCATCTCCGGACTCTAAGCCACCTGTGTCATCGCTGCCCCATCCATCATCGCCTCCTGTGTTCCCAATTTTCTTGGACTGGTTTTTTGGCCTCTGTTTGCATTTCCTATGGACTGTTTCCACCGCCTAGCACCCACCGTTCCCCTCTCTGGACTTTGACAGTGATGCTGTCATGCTTTCTGTGATTCCTTGACTGCTCCACGTGCTTTGTACACCATTGTTCTTATCCGTTATGTAATGCCCCTTTTGTTCTGTACACCATCTGTACTTCACCACGTTGGGGTTCTTTTTGTTTGTGTGCAGGGGGGACTTAGGCTCTGCCTAAACTCAACCTAACCCCAAGTTGCACAGGTACCAATTCCCAAAAATTCAGTAGTAACCTCAAGTTGCACAGGTACCATATTCAAGTTGCACAGAAAATTCAGTACCAATTTCCAAATATTCAAAAGTCAAAATTCAATTCAAACCAAATTCCAAATTCAAATTGCACACAATTTGGCCAAAATTCGGTTCCAGACACTGGTCCTGCAGTCAAATTTCTCTCTCAGTGACACTGTGCCACAGTGGTATTTCCCGTTTCTTCCCCAAGGCCGTGGCCACTAGACGGGAGCTTTCCAGAGGCTGATTAGCCAGTGATGGGTAAGATCCTCTCAGAGGAAAGCGGGATGCCGGCCGCCCCCAACAGCTTTCACTCTGGCAGAGGACAACCTAAGACAGGCACGGTCTTTCCATCCCAGTCTTAGCATGTACTTCATCTTTAAAAAAATATAAAAAGAAAGGGGGAAATGTCGGGAGCCATGCTTGACATAAGCATTGGAAATTAGAAGAGTGCCACTCTTCTGAGCTCTCTGCTTCAGCAGTCAGAGCTGTCAGGCATGATAAATCAGGTCTTCTAGAAAGTTAGTTTCGGTTCGGTCTGCGGGCACCGGAAGATTCAGCTACGTGCTGTATCCATAATGCCCTTTTTGTTTCTGTTAGGAATAATCACCTGGGTAACCCAAATTCTGGGCCAGATAAAAGGGACCTGTGAGACCCCTCAGTAGATTCTTCCTACTGGAGAGCTCTCTCCTGCCTGTAGCTGCCTTTCTGTAAATAAAGTCTTAGAAAACTTCAGACTACTGTCTGGGTACCTTTCTTGTTGAAGACCCAAGCCTGGTGGGCTTGGGAGGCGTTTGACAGGATTGTGGTACATCCGTATGACAGGGTACACTGCAAAAGTCAGAATGAAGGTACTGACCTTACTACATATATGGACATGAATAAACCTCAGAAATGAAGAATACAAAGAAGTTGAAGGTGTTGTAGAGCATCAAGCCCTTTCCACAACTCATAGAAATAAAAATATGTTATTTGAATGTGTGAGACAGAATGCAGTGGGGATACAAGAAATATATGCTCCTCCAAGAACAGGGTACAAAGAGCACTTGCATTGTATCTATTATTACTCAAAAAAAATGAAAAAGAGGAGCTGAGGAAATGGTTCCGTGGGTAAAGCACTTTCCCCACAAGCATGAGGACAAATTTGAATCTCAAAAACCCAGACACAGTAGAGCACATCTACAGTCCCTGTACTTCTATGGAGAGATGAGAGGCAGAGACAGGAGAATCTCCAGGTTACAAGCCAGCTATCCTGGTGTTTGCAGCCACAGGGGAAAACAGACCATTTCAAACAAGACAGACAGCAAGGACCAACAACTAAGGCTGCACTCTGACCTCTACACTCACACTGTGGCATGCAAGCAAACACACACACACGTACACACACACACACACACACACACACACACACACACAAAGAAGAAAAGGAAGAAGGAAAATATGGTGAAATCTTAACATCTAAATTGTGGGTACAGAGTTGTTATATTTTCTGTAAAGTTTTCTATCTTCATTCTAAAATAAAAAGAATGGTTGGAAAACCTCACTAAAATATGAAAGCCTATTATCTAGAAAAGAGAAAACTCTGGAGGACTTGAAAGGTATTCAGCTGCAAGAATGTGGGCCAAACTTCAGGAAAGTCTTATTCTGTTGTGTCTCCAGCACCCCACCAAGAGTTGAACTCACAGTCCTTTCTCTGAAGCCTCAGAGGTCAATGGATGACTGGCAGGTGAGAAAACAGCTAGAGCAGCTACTGCTGAACTTACAGGAAACAGTTCATTCCAAGAAGCTTCTGTCCCATACTGGATACCCACCTGCCAGCTGAGACGCTGGTGAGGGGATGCAGAATGAGAAGGTGAATTTACTGGCTTCTGAGTTCTCATTGCTCTGCAGACTGTGACTAAGACTTATGCTTTGGATAAAAAGGTCCATGACATGAGATGCTGTGCCCTATATCTCCCCAAGAAACAAACTATTTCTTGTGTGTATCATGGAGATTCTTTCCATGACCCCAGAGACCTTGGACCTACCCCAAACACAGCACTACCATATAGTATTATATGGAAAGTTTAACTTTAGACATTAGAGATTTTCGTGTCTGTATTTGCACAATTCCTAAATCAAGAATGCAAAAGTATTGGTGGAGTGAAATAGAATAAAATTCTGAGGATGAGTGCATGGACAGACGGGCAGATGGATGGATGGATGGATGGATGGATGGATGGATGAAGGGTGGATGGATAAATGAATGGATGGACAGATAGACTGATGGGCAAGTAAAAAGTATGCATAATATAGTGTCTAACATTTAGTCAGATATGAAATACTCTTGTTGAAGGGCCTTGAATTTGAAATACTTCACAATTTTTCAAGTCTAGTTATGTTATGAAATCTCTAAATGTCATCTAAACTTACTTTGAGACTTCTGTTTTTCCATCGTGTTTGTTAAGCTGGTAAATGATGCTTTCTCAATGAGTTCCTTGATTTCCGTCATGGTTGTCCCCATCAAAGAAACAGGTGTTTTTGAAGGGCTCCTTCTAGAAAATCCTCACAGAGAAAAATGAAAACACTCAAGGGCCAGATATTGAGAACCTATCTATGGGCCCTACCTGCTTTCTTCTTTAAATTACATGCATGTGAATGGCCTGGGTATTTGTCAAAATGTGAATTATCCCTCAGGAGCTGGGGACAGCCTGAGACTTTTCATGCCTATGAAGCTCTGCAATAATGTGATGTAGTGGTGCACATTTGCACCACCAAGGTTCTAACCAACTAGAAAATGTACTAAAATATAACATTTTTAAAGTAGATAAAGCTATAAAATATCTAGGAATTCACTGACAAGAGTTATCCACATCAGGCCCAGTGGGAAGTCACTGCAATTGTTTTGTTGGATGAATGTGATAACACCTGCTAAAGTGCCATCCAAGCATTTGTGTTTACACCTATAAGTTAAGTTATAGTAGCCACTGTTTAGATAGTCTTGCTTCTTGCTGTTTGTGTTTTTATAGTACATGGAATCCCACTGAAATGGGCCAACAGCCCATGGAAAGCAGACAATACAGAGTCCCAAAAGTTCAGTGCCTTACCACAATGGGAGGAAGATCATCCCACACCTACCACCCCCTCTAATGCTCAGAGACTTTTGAGGAAGAGGTTGGCAGAAAGAATGTAAGAGCCAGAGGGAGAGGTGTAATGTTACCTGGAAGTGTTATGCTGGCAAACTTTAGTCACACATCCTTCCCACCCTCATCAAACAGTTGAGGAGGGAGTCAGTTACCCCTCCCACCCAATCAGTCGACCTTCGCTGCATGTGGGGGAGGGGCTAAGGATATATAAGCAGAGAACACCATAAGGCACCTCTCTTGCCATTTTGTGCAGTTATTGGGAAGTCACAGGATCCATATTTGAACGTGGACTTTCCAACACAGCTGTAAATGGGGTAAACCCCCACCCTATGCTCTGTTAGAAAGCCCAGTAAACTACTTAGGATTTCCAAAATTAAAAAATAAAAAAATAATTTTTAAATCTGATTTGGAAAAAAAAATTATCTACATCTACAAGAAGGAAAAAAATTGATAAAGACTATAAAGGATTGGGTCTGAATTAAGTAAAAGGATATGCCATGATCACAAGTAGGGTAACTTGACAAATAATTGTCAATTTTCACAAATTAGTATGTAAATTCAACACAAAAAAGCAATATTTAAAAGTCAAAACTGTCAGTGAGGCATGAGCCTATGCACCTTCAGTTCCAGCTATTCAGGAGGCTGAGACAGGAGGACGGCTTGAACTCAGGAGTTTGAAGCCAGCCTGAACAAACATACTAAGACTCTGTTGCCAAAAAAAAAGATAGAAAAGGAAAATAAATAATGAGCTTGTCTGCTGGCATGGAGGCTGGCTCTCCTCATCCTAGCCCCACAGCTGAATTTCCATTCTCCAGTCCCTGCTTCTCCAGAACCAACTTGCCTGTCTGTGGCCCCAGAACAGCTGCCCCCAGAGACCCCAGCCAAGGCTCCACAGGCTAAGGCTATGGGTTAGCATCCTGGCAGCCCAAAATTTCCAGCTTTCAGTCTTTGTGATACTCACTCAAATCACTCATCACCTTGTGCAGAAAGTGGAGCTTGATGACAAAACCACGCCCCCCCCCCAAAAAAAATAAGGGTCAGGGGAGGTTGAGCACCCAGAAGCTCAAGCTCCTTTCCTCCCGTCTTTCATCTTTCATGGGTTATTTCAACTCTACCTTACCCAGAATTAATAAAAAGGATACAATGACTCAGAATAGGGCCAGTGAGGAAGGGCTCTCACCCCCAGATAAGTAGCTCTGTACTTACCGAGACACAGAAATGTCCTCCATCTTCAAGGACCTCTCATATTCTTCACTGTTCTTGGGAGAAGTTTCAGGCTCTGCTTGGTGAGAACCTAATATTACCAAATGTCTCCAAACTTCTGACTCTGTGCTAGTTCACCAGCAAATGAGGCCTCTGCCCATTCCAGTGACATATTGCAGGTAAAGGTCTAGCACATAGCAGCATTCAGAAAGAAGGTTTGCTGACTGAATGAAGGATACAGACCAAACTAATTCTAAGTATTTGGGTGAATGAAGGTAAGTCGAGCCCTCTGGGTCTTTAAATGTTACCCCTACTGAGGGAAAAAAAGAGGAAAATTCACTGCATACTCAATTAGCCTCTTCAGTACTGTTTATCACATTAGAGAATGTTGAAAACACACCTAAGTATCCCACATTCCCAACTATAAAGAATGGTTAAAGAAATTACAGTCCTATTTACCTAGCCACAACAAATGAAGTTACAGAAAGGTCTTCAGGACATAGAAAGATGCCTGTGATGATGTGTGAGTCATCTTAGACTACAGAAGCAATGTGTGCATCTTGGTAACCCAATAGGCTAAAAATAAAATTTAAAAAGAGGGACTTGAGAGCTGGCTTAGCAGTTAAAAGCACTTTCTGCTCTTCCAGAGGACCCAAGTTTGGTTCTCCGCATTCAAGTCAGGCATCCCACAACTGCCTGTAACTCCAGTTCCAGGGAATCCAATACTTTCTTCTGGTCTCCAAGGGTACCTACACACAGGCATTTACTCATGCAGACACACACATACACATAAATAAAAATAAATCTTTAAAATAAAAATTAAGCCAGACATGGTGGTGTACACCTTTTATCCCAGCATTTAGGAGGCAGAGGAAGGTGGGTCTCTGTGAGTTCAAGGCCAGCCTGGTCTACATAGGGAATTCCAGGATAGCTAGGGATACAGGGGGATCTTATCTCAAAAAGACAAAAATTAATTAATTGATTTATTAATTACCTAATTAATTAATTAAAATAAAAAACACATAAGATTCCTAGAACGAAAAGAGATTTGCTATAACAGGATAATCAAAATAGTACACTGACTGTAATTAGTGATGGAATCATAGATTATTGCCCCCTTTTTAATACTTTTCTATATTACAAGTTCTTTTTTGAAAAATGTAACTTCTTGGGGCTGGAGAGACAGCTCTGCAGTTAAGAGCACTGACTGCTCTTGCCAATGACCTGGGTTCAATTACCAGCTCCCACATGGCAACTAACAATTGTCCGTAACTCCAGTTCCTGGGGATCCAATGTCCTCTTCTGAACTCTGTGCACAATGAACATAGGTGCACTTACATACATACGGGCAATACACTCTTACACATTAAATTAAAATAATAAATAAAAAGGAAGAAAAATGTAACTTCCATGGCCAGAAAATTTTGTGTTGGGTTTCCAAATCACAAAGCAAATGACTATTAAATCAGTTGGGCACTGTGGTTCATAACTGCAATCTTAACATTTAGGAAGCTAAGACAGGATGATAACTTCAAGGCCAGCCTTGTCTGCATAATGAGTTCCAGGTCAGCTAGGGCTACTTAGTGATCTCATCCTAGTTTAAAAAAAAAAATCTGGATGGTGGTGACACATACCTTTAATCCCAGTACCCGAGATGCAGAGGCGTCTACGAGTTCAAGCCAGGCTGGCCTACATGGCAAGTATCAGGTCAGCCAAGGCTACATAGTGAGACTTTGTCTCAAAAAGGGAAAAAAAGAAATGAGGGGAAAGAAAGAAAAGGGAAGGGTGGGCAGGGAACGGAAGGGCAAGAAAGAAGAATCAACAATCAAAAACAAGCCACCCTGGGGCAAGGGAGTGATGACTGGGTGGTCACAGAGTGCTGGAGATTGTGTGCTGGGCTGGTCTCCTGACAGTCCTGAGCTCAGCTAGCCGCAGTCATTTCTCCTCACCTTGTGGAGACTTCTGGTGTTTTTCTGCCTTTTCTGGATCTCCTGGTATGTTCTCCTCATACACCTCCTTTGAAACAGTGTTGGCTTTCTCCGTGACCACTGTAGACAACCTCTTCTGACTTAAAACCAAGTGTTTTACCTCCTCTGGAATGAAAGAATATATCAGTCAAAAATGCCTACTGGACACCTGCTACATGCAGTTATCTGATGCCTCCCATGAACAAACAGTAGAGGACAAGGGAATGGAATCCCTGTAATCCCAGAGTTACCCAATGACATCGAATACCAGGAAACTCAAGAAAAACCACAAACCTGTTAGGGCCAGATACTTGGACCTTGGCTGGCAATAGCTCCCCCCAGGCACCTAAATACTATGGTACTGAATCTCCACATTTCACTGGAAGGGAGGTGTTGCTATCTACACTGACATTTAGGTAACTTTCCCACAATAGAGTCCTTAGCAGAACCAGGCTCATATCAGTTCTCCTTGTCCCCAGCAAGGAAGTCCCTTCTGTCAGCATCTACTCAAGAGAGTTTCACGCAGTCATGGAATGATGGCTGAACACATAAAGGGATTAAGTGGAGATACAGGGAGCTATAAGGAAGAAGTGGAGAGGGGATGAAATTTGATTCATCGTTGAAGGGCAATGGGGTGGCTGGTTGTCTGAAGGCAGCTGTGCCAGGAGCCCACCACCCCGAGTGAAGGGTAGGTTCACTAGCAAGAATGGAGCCTGAGGGACCAAATCCTAAAAAGCCTTCAAAGGAGACTCTGAAGGTAACACTTAATCCTATAGGAAAATTACAGCACAATGAAGTACAGAGTCAACGGAGAGACACAGGAAAGTCATGCCCAGGTGGCAAGAGAGAGGACGTGGAAGGAATTGGACAGAGACAGTTGCAGAGTAAATCTCTAGAAAACCTTGGTGAGGTAGGCACTGTAAGCAGAGGTTGGGAGACGAGGGCCAAGAATAGAAAAATAGAAGGTTCTAGAAATAAATTCAGATTTGCAAAGAGACCATCACTTCAACTGAAAGTTTCTCTGCAAGGCAAAATTTACTTCTGATCAGAAGGGTGCAGATCTCACAAGAATACAGAAGAAAGCACAATTTGTTAATGTGGCCTTCACCCACCCACCCCCAAAAAAGATGGCCTTCCCTTTTATCCCTGACACAAAAGAGAACTAGGCTGTACCTCATTGGTCAAGTTTCAACCGCACAGTTTAAACTCAAGTAGCTAATTGCAAAAAAGAAAGAGGCAATTTAGTAAAAATCTTTTGGCATTTAAGAGTGTGGGGCTTTGTTACAAAAGGGAGAAGGAGGTTTGAGGATGAGGAAACGAGAAATATTAGGTTAAGGGAGCAAAAGCTTTCCCACAATGTAACTATGAGACCTCTGAAAGGGACGTGGGAAATGAATGCTGCAAGTTACAACCGACAGGCTAAGAAACAACATCAAGGTAAATATCAGTCCTATAACAAGGGTACCAAAATGAAAGACAAGCAAATAGCTTCAAAACGTTTTTGATAGAAAAGTTTTCATTTCTTATGGAGGGGGGGTTGTTTGGTTTTTTTGTTTGTTTTCTTGGTTGATTTTTGTTTTGTTTTGTTGAAACAGGGTCTCCCTGTAGCTCCAGCTAGCCTGGAACTCGCTAGGTAGACCAGGGTGGCCTGGAGCTCTTAGAGATCTACATGCCTCTGCCTCCGCCTCCCGAGTTCTGGGATTAAAGGCCACTACATTTGGCAGATTTTATTTTATACAGAGTGGTCACAATAGAATTTGCCGACTTCAAGTGAGAAAGAAAACTAAAATTAAATAAAAAAGAAAACTAATTTAATTGAGAAAAATTCAGAGCAAGTTGTCTGGGGAAAGGAGAAAAAAAAAAAAAAAAACGCTGCCTGTTTGTCTGAAAAAACAGCTTCAAGTGTATCTAAGGAAACTAATCCTCTGTTTGCTTAAGAAAACAGGTGTACATTTAACCTTTGTTTCCGCTTCTATAATATGCTTCCTCAGTTTCAATTTCAGCTCATGCCCCCTACTGAACCAAGAGTTGGAGATCCCTGTGCCCAGTGCTAAGAGGCCCTGTGACTCCTGTGCTCACCAGTGCCAGAATGGATCTGGAATGATGCTGAGTTGTATATAAACTAAAAAAAAAAAAAAAACTACTACCTGTGCTGACTTTCAGTGGTGACTCCATTGAGCCCACTAATGAAACTTGTTTTCTGATCATCCACTCAGTGGGAAGTGCCTATTTGAAGTGCAGTGACCTCCTAGCCTCACCTTTCCCTTAAATGCTTGGTTCCCTGGCTGGGAAGTTACTGTTCTCAAACAAGGCTGGCCCCTTGGAGTAGGGCTAGGCTGTGACCTGGAACAGGCTGTGGACAAGTGGAAGCTGCCTTCCAGCTCATTCAGGGATCCCAATGCCACAGACCAAGGTCCATCTCCTCAGACCACACCCTCCTGGCTGACCTGCGGGGACCAGGGGATCATTCCTACAGGATTTCAGGACACAGTAAAGTACCCCAAGCACCAGTAATCAGACACATCATCTTGAATGGAAGGGGATACTGATCACCTCCCTGCAAATTTTTCTATAATTGTCTCATTCAGGGAAGCCTCACAGAGGTCTGGAGTCTAGTATGAAAAAGTGTGTGTGTGTGTATGTGTGTGTGTGTGTGTGTGTGTGTCTCCACGGCTGTCAAGTTACAGAGTCTGATTGGGCCATGTGCCAAGAGAGGTCTAATTCCCAGCCCCCCAGTGGGTAGCCAGGTGGGGTAAAGCAAGTTCTGTTCAGGGCAGTGCCTGCTCCAAAGGTCTTTGTCTTTGTTCTTGAACAACAGCACAGTGGGAGTCCACTGGAAACCCACTGTTCTAGATTACGTGATCAAAAATTTCAGCAAGGAGGTTATGGCACTAGGATGAAGCCAGGAAGATTGAGGAAGGACCTTCTGTAAAACAGAAGGACCAACTTTTGATGTTGAATGACCCCCAGAAGGAAATTTGGGTATGACTAAGATTAAGGCAGTGCACCACATAACTGGAAATGTAGGTCATCCAGATCATTTCCCATATATAGATTCTTGGCTACAAATTACACTAGCCTAGCCCCCTGGAGATGGTTCTGTGCTGGTAGACAATATCAGAGCAAAATTATCCTAGCCAAGACTCAATCAAAAAACCAACGCTCCACCAAGACTCCACCAATCCTCCAAGAAGACCCAGATGAGCCCCCACTGCCACCACCTCTTTATGCTTCTCTACCCAGGGCACAGTCCCCTCCATTGCCAGTCCACTACTGTCCGTATTTCCTCCAAGGCCACCCCCACCAGAGACAGCAATATCTCCTCCAAGGCCTGAGGAGCATGAACAGGTGGGGAGATATCTCTGTGCAGCCCAGAGGCACCTACCCACCTTCCAGATGCCCCTTTGAGAGACTAGAGGACCCAGCTTGTAGCCCATCAGACAGAAGCATAGAGGGAGGGCAATCTATTTTCTCCTGCCAGCTCTTCACCACAAACTTGCTTAATTGGAAACACCATACCCCACCCCCATACTCCAAGAAACCACAGGTTATGAAGGACCTAGTGGAATCTATTTGTCAGTCTCATCTTCCTACCTGGAGCAACAGCTGTCAACTCCTTCTAACTCGAGATACAGAGGAACAATGGTGAGTGATGACTGAGGCTCAGAAATGGTTAATGATTTAACCAGAAGGCCCCACCAGAAGGAACTGAATGCGGAGACACAGATCAGAAATGCCCTCCCAGAAAAAGACACCCCAATGAAACCCCAGTTCAGGAGGTGTTAGGGCCACCCTTGGAAGGTATCAACAGGCCCTATTAGAAGGATTGAATAGGGAGTTAAGAAATTCAACACATCCAAGACCACTGAAGTGTTCCAGAAACCAGATGAACGCCCTTCTGACTTTTACAAGAGGCTATGTGAAGCCTCCCACCTGTAGACTCCTTCTGATTCTGAAGTGCACATACACCCACCTCCCCCCACCCCCACCAAACCAGTGAATGGTAAACGCAGCCTGCATGGACCAGGCACAAGGAGCTATGTGGAGAAAGTTACAGAGAGTAAAAAGGCTTGCAGGGATGGGATGAACGTACCCAGATGCCAGAAGTTACCAACAAAATATTCATAAATCAGGAACAGACTACTAGAAGGGAGGCAGACAAGAGAATGAAACAAAAGGCAGCCCTCCTGGTGGAAGGGTCAAGGCATCTACTGCAAGGAAATTGGATACTGGAAAAATGAATGCCCCAATAAAAAGGGGAGAGACCAGAGATCAAAACAGGATCACACTCTATCAGGCCAAGCCCCCTCACCAGCAACTTCATTAGACTGGCTGGAATTGACCCTGACTGAAACAGGCTAGACTTCATAAGACTGGGCCCTCATGAGCCCATGATCAAAATGAAAGTCAGGAGCCACTTAATGGACTTCATGGTAGCTAGTGGCACTGAATACTGAGATGTTACCAGACCGGGAGCCCCTTGTTGAAGAAGGCTACAATAGTGGGATCCACCGGGATCCCAACCAGGCATCCCTTCTGTGAGTCTCACAGCTTACCATGAGAAGACACTAGATGAAGTATGAATTCTCCTATCACCCAGAGTGCCCAGTATCCTTGCTATAAAAAGACTTGTTGTTTAAACTAGGGGCACAGATTATCTTCTCTGTTGATAGCACCACCTCCCTAAAATTGCAGGGACCCATGGAAGCCACCTGTGTGATCCTACCAGTCACAATTCCCCAAGAGGAAAAATGGAGTATCCCCTCAAGTCCATCATACACACTGACTCTGTCGTGGAAGCTTGGAGCTTCCACTTTCCTAGAGTATGGGCTGGAAAGAACCTATGAGGGCTGGCCATCAGTCATCCACCTGTAATAATTGAATTGCTACCTATAACCCACCTGGCAAGGGTTCAACAATGCTCTTTATCTTGTGAGGTCAAGACTGGCATTCAGACTTATCTTCAGAGACTATTAAGAGTTTGGACAGCTTCAAAAATGCCAGTCTTCTTGGAACACATAAAGCAACCAGGCATCAGACTACCAACCATTCCAGAACCTACAAACCATCAACCAGGCACAGTCACTATCCATCCAGTGCTCCCCAGCTCTTACACATTTCTTGGC